CCTAAATCCTAAAACTAGGACAATAATGCATAGCAATTCAGCATATTCCATACCAAATAGTTTTGGAAAGTATGGCCAACCCATTTCTCCATATATTTACAGTGTTTTAAAGCTTTTCTTTCACTAAATGAATAGGCTGACCACGCTAAACAACTATACCTAGAGCAAAATAAAGTAGAAGGAAATCAATGGTACATGAAGGAAGTTAAGAAATAAAGATGTTATAACTTGTGGTTTTAAGAATATCTTATTTCCATGTGAAGTGATAAAAATCACTTTGAAATACATTCTTGGAAAATATCTTTATTCTAATCTTAGCAAGCTTCATGAAAAACTGTCATAATAAGAAAAGAGTGAAAATTTTTGTTGTCATGAATAGGGTTTCGTGCTCAGATAGATCTTGTTTGGGATCTAGATTTCGTCCTTTAGGAATCATTTCACAAACCTGGCTTCTTCATGGAAATAAAGACAATGGATGAATAATGAATAGTGTACAATAGGCAAATTTTTAGCTGTACACATTAAAAGAGAAATCCCAAGTTGACCAAAACTATAAAGAGCCATACTGTGTTCTATTAGAAAAAAGAATACCAGCAATTTCGGAAGAGAAGTTGAGTATGTGTGTTTAGTTGTTCAAAATATATATTTTTTGAAAAATTGTATCTTCAGCGACGAAACAACAGTAATATTTCAAAAATCAGTGGAAATGTTTTATAGTGTTACATTTAGAAACTATCAAGGTATGGTATTTCACCGCAGCTTGTTTGACTAATAGTAAAGAGGTATGAGGGGGGCACGGGGATGGCCCAGTCAATTAAGCATCTGACTCTTGATTTTGGCTCAGGTCATGATCTCACAGTTCTTGAGTTTGAGCCCTGCGTTGGGCTCTGTGCTGACAGTGCTGAGCCTGCTTGGGATTTTCTCTCTTCCTCTCTCTCTGCCCCTTTCCCCTCTGTTACTCTCTCTCTCTCTCTCTCTCTCTCTCTCTCTCTCTCAAAATAAATAAATAAGCTTTAAAAGAAAAAAAGAGATAAGAGATCGTGCGAACTATATATAAGGCAGTCAGATAATAAACCATAATAAAAAAGAATCTACACAGAGAATTCTCTCTGTGAAGGGATCTATAAAAGCTACAATAATAATAATAATAGTAGTAGTTGTAGTAGTAGTAAAATACAAACCATTTTTGCTACTGTAGAGTTGATTGTGAGAGGCTGGATGGCTACGATTGAAATGATTTACATCAAAGAGACAAATTTAAAAGCAAAGCATAAGAAGGACTCACTGGACAAGCATTTTAAAAGTCTTCTTTTTCAGTTCCTACCAACAATTTATAGCAAGAACATTTGCCCCAATTGTGTAGAAATCAATATTTAATATACTTAATTTTGTAATGGAGAATTTATTCTGAAAGTTATTTGGTCTCCTTGAGTTCGGAATCAAGATACTAATAGCATTGTTTACTTATCTATTTGACATAGCATTTCACTTTTACAACCTGTAACTATTTTACTTTTGTGTTATTAAACTGATTTTCCTAACACAGAAGATTTCCTTATTTTTTGTACATTTTCTGATTATGTCTTTATTGATGACATGTATAAAAGAAAGGAATTAACACAGGAAGCAATGTTGCCTCATTTACAAATGAAGAATGTAAATGTCAAAAAATACTAGATATAAATGTAATGTGAATTTCATATGAAAACTTTATCCATGTCATATATACTTATATTTGTACTCATAATATCATAATGCTTATTCATAACAAAAAGTAATTTGTTATACAGGTTCTACTCTGATTTATTAGCTATGCACATCATTTAACTCTTTTGCAAATTCCTCAAATAGATGTCAAGTTATAGCAGGATCTGGTTAATGTTTACAAACAATTTTATAATCCTTCAAAGCAGCAAGGCTTTTGAGAAATATGACAAATTTTATGCATATAAGCCAAATTTTATTTACAGACATTAATAAAGTGCAGTGAATGAGTATGAGGGTTTCACCCTAGTACGCTTTAATTTATAGAAATCATTAATTGCTGTGAAACACCACTTACACATCTTCATTTGCATTTTTCTTTAGAAACAAAAAAGCAAAATAAGTTGAAAAGCCTGAATATGAATGAGGTGACAGGTGATTTATTGTGAAGTTTCTTCTGCCTCAGTGACCAACCTCCCGGGAAAGACAATACAGGCTCTGAGAAGACATGAGTTTTAAAATGGGAATGAGTCACATCCCTGCTCTGCTACACCACTGGTTATTTAGGAGGACTGTTTGAATTGAACTAGTGTTCTCTAAGCTTCTGAAGGGCAGGATGGGGCTTGGAGGAAAGAGAAGACAGTGTTTGCTTATTTTATTATCTAAGGTAGGGAGAAGAAATATTTTACCTTTATTGCTTCAATGCTAAAATATGGTTACAAATCAAAAGTGGAAAGCACAACCAGGCAGATATAATGTGCATTTAACTTCTAATTTAGAATAGACAATTCAGTTTTATTAGTTTATCTCTTTTTTTTAGCCTCAAGGGTAGCACCACTTTAGATAAATTATTATTTCTTTTACTTGGCATTCAGGTAACTACTGTATTCCGACTACCTATTACTAGAAAAAAAAAAAGGGGAAAGAAAACCTTCAGTAGTGAATGATGAATTTTAATATCTAATTATCTCAGAGCACTGACAAGGATCAGTTTTCATTTGTTAGAAGATATAAGTGAACTTCTGAATAAAATAATGATAACAGTACTTGTGTTCCAGGCACTGTAGTAAGGAATTAACATATGTAAACTCACTTGGTCCTGTCAAGGTCCCTGTGAAGAGGGTGCTATTTATATCCTTATTGCATAGACACTGAGAAAATAAGCAATTTACCAAACGTCACCGGATTGAAACCCCATTCTCAAAACTACTATGAAAACTACAATGAGTAAGTCAACAATTTGCAAATGTCTATTTGATGATGCTTTCCCCCTTTGTATCAACAATGTCCTAACAGGTGATGCCTTTCAGTAGGTCGTTGTGCCACTGAGAGCCAAGATTTACCCCTAAAATTGATGAAAAGATCGTCATAGGCCATCATAATTGTACTGATTACATAAATTTACTGAGAATGCATGTGTAGATTAATATGAATCTGAACCTTGAATGGAGAATCCCATCAACATTAATAAATAAGTGCTGGACATCTACAAAAGAGACAGTTTTCAGTCATACAACACATAGATTTGGCTTAAATAAATCTAGCTTTACCAGTCAGATCTCCATGTGTAAAAATCTAAATTGCGTTAATTTCTGTGGGAGGTTGATAAGACAGAGGGTGGGAGGTAGGGGGAAATAAAAATCCACCTTTGCCAGTCATGCTATTGTTTCAAAAGAAGAAATGCCTTTTTGCTAATCCTGCCACTATAATGGGTTACATTTTTGTAATAACTCCACAGCTGAGGAGGGGTGGGCATGGGACACTTGTCATAATTCATACAACATCATATTGGTAGCAGCTATCTAGCAAAACTAGATTTGAAACTGAAATTTCTGATGTCAACTCAACTAATGAAATAAAAAGAAAATGGGGAATGCAATTATATTATTCACAATGAGATAAAGCCTAATAAAATCTAATTTCAGAAAATATCCCAATTTCTATACAGATCTATAAAAAGAGAGGAAACGTTTAACCATTAACTGAACTAGCAGAGCAATTTCTCAGAAATGCTTCATTTTATGATTGAACTCAAGTTTCAGAGGCATTGATGGTCTAACTCATTCAGGGCAAGGTTTGGCCAGTAGAGATTGTGGGTAGGAGATATGAGTAGAAGATTACTCTAGCTACATATTGTTTCTACCACTACTGGGAAGTTGGAGCTACTGGAAAGTTGGGTGAGATTTCTAATACACCTGGGGGAGGCTCAGGGATTGAGGCCTGACTTCAAGATATGAACAAATAGTAAATATTTAAATGAACAGATAAATGAACCCTCCTGTGGCATTTGTAAAATCTTGAGTTTGGATCAGAGTTAAACTTCTTTAAAACTTTTTATACTCAACTACCACATTAATGCTCTTGAAAGCTCCTTCAAACTGTGTAGGCAGTGGCATCAGGGAAATTAACTTGATAGTTGCCCTGGGGTACTGGCCTCAAGGAATTCTTAATTTATGAGTGAGTAGCATTGTAGCAAACAAGTCAGAAGCAGAAAATATATCTTAAAATGCACAGGGAACCTTTGCAAAAACCCCTTCATGAGTATACATATTCAAAGGACAAATGTAATGGAAGGTTTTAAAGAGATGAGGTGACCAAATAACAAAATTCCAAAGAGAATATATAAGAATGATTACATGAACTGAAAATTATCAATAAATCTTCCAAGGTTTTGCATGATTCTAAGGAATAAAATCCCAACAGTAATCAAGTTGATCACACTGGAAAATCTAGGCAGGTAATCTGATACATAGGATATAACAAGTTGGTGCAAGAACAGAATATTAAAGATGGTTTGAAAAAATAAAAACCCTTGAGAAAGAGTTCTGCACTGCATGGTAGATGTTTTATTCTTAATGGATCCCAAAGATGATAATGATGAATTCCTGTTTGGAAGAATAGATGGTAAGACATACAGAATTATAAAATAATTATTCTTTTGATGAATTGAGCAGTGGTATGAATACGAAAGAAAACCTAAAGTAAAAAATAGGACTAGCTTTTAGACAACTTCTTGTAGTTTTCAAGGGCCAGAACTGTTCTAAGACAAAAATAAGAAATTTAATATAACTGGCTTGGAAAGAAAGGAAAATGGGGTTTAAATTAACAAAAAATTGCCAGCTGGTAAGAAACTAAGAATGAATGGGAAGTTAGAATATATGAAGATGCAAAGATGCAGTGCCTAGAATTTTTATTTAATAGAGAATATAATCTTTCAATTAAATAATGGTGAACAATTATGTTGCTGAGGTGACTGAAGGGTTTATCTGGAAAGGTGAATCTTGGATTCCACCTACCTAAATATGATACACACGCCTGAATGCAGGGAAGATAGGACCCTGGGAAATAAGACAAGATTAAAGAAGGAGGTTAAAGACGATCTTCAGAGATATACTATGAAGAAATAAAATTTTAAAGTACTCCAGGCATCTAAGACAAAAAAATAATGAGATGAGAATAAAATGACTTTCTGACTTGGGGGAATGGGGAATTAATGTGGGAAATCAAGAAGATCACTCTGATGTCTACCACCATTAAAGTCACTGAGTGAAAGGAAGAATATATATCCTGAAGGAAGAGATCACTGGCTGGACACACTTCAAATCATAAATTCAATTTAACCCCCTCCCCAAAGTCAACATTAGAATAACTTATTTGGTGTCACAAGAAATTTTATACCATTCTTCAAGAGTAACTTTAAGAAAGACTTTTAAAACTAAAGATTTTGCAACCAGATTTAAACATATGATCGGTCAGTATAAAATATTATTTCCTTTAAATACACTTCAAACTGACCCAGTCATCCACATAATTACATATTCCAAGTTGATGAAATTCATTAGAAGGGACTAAAAAGGTACAGAATGTTATTCGTGATTGACCTGAAAATCAAGGTCATGAAAACGTGTCCATTTAAAACAATTTTTAGTAAAGTCACATACCTTACAATCTTTATATAAATTTAGATCATAATGCTAGACAACATCATAATTTTACATATTTTAACCATCTTCGCGGTAGGCAAATAAACAGTACATCATTAGAATACATGATCTGATCTTTTGTTGAAACAACAATTGTTCTATGGTTACTGTGATCATTAGATGCAAGATACTTCTAATAATAAATCCTATTCATAAGGGTAGCTTTCTTTCTAGTAACATACTGTAAATTTTCCATCTGTGGGATTAGGCAATAAACAAAGTCTGTCACTATGAAAGCAAATTAGTTCCTAAATGTTGAAGGCATCTGTAAGTAATCTGCATTGTATGATTTAAAAGTATGTCTTAAGTTATTCATATTAAAATAAATTTTCACAAACTAACCATTAAAATAAAACTTGAAAAAGAATATTTAGATGATACTATGTAAATCAAAATCTAGCAAATAAAAACAGATTAATAAAGAAACAAAATACAAAAAGGTATTTTTTGGAGGAATAATTGCACTCACTATTCCTACTCAGGCAGAAGTGACAGAGAAAATGTAATATCATTATTAGGTTATAGTGGTTATATCACTGCCCCAAATAACATATTAAGATTACATATAACATGGGTCCCTGTATCAGGTTCAACTTGGACACTATTAGTCCCAACTTCTTTTATGTAAATAAGATGCAAATTAATTGAGTAAAAGTAATTAAGAGCCGCACCAGGATCTAAATTTTTCTGAATCATAACCCATGATTGTTAACTGTTTGTTTCTAAGTAGCATTTAATGTAACAAAAAGCTAACAGAAGCAGGTTTAAAAGCAACTAATAATCCTAGTTCGGGGATAAGGAAAAAAACAATGTTGTACTCAATATATGTGTACTCAATATATACTTAATATATGTATCAAAAATATCTGTTAGGACACTGTGACTGGAATAGGCTTATGCAAATTCCACCTTTCCAGATAAAACTATAGTCTAACTATTCCCCAGAAATGTCTACAGTGTCCTCTAGCTCTAGACAAACATAGCATTTACTCATTTTGACTGGAGTTGATTTAATTCTAATCACCCCCGCCCCCAACACACACATACACTGAATAAGAGGGAGGGAAGGAGGGAAAGAGGGAGACGGAAAGACAGAGAAGAATAAAAAAAATCAACCACAAACAAAATAGTAGCTTAAGGAAACTTCACTTCAAAGTCTAAATTGATGCCCTAGGCACATGATAACCAGAAGCACACACACACACACACACACACACACACACACACACACAAATCATAATATATGTATATATATTTTTTTCTCCTAGATCTTTAAATATGCTGGATAAGTTTGTAGATACTATGATCAGATGCGATTTTTACCCCAAATATACAGGTTGTCTCAAATATGTATTAGACAGTATATTTTTACTTCCACAAAGACTATGAAATTGCTCTATGCCTGGGACAATGTGGAACTCTATGATGCTTAGCAGACTATATAGCCACATAATTGCCCATTTTCACTGCTTCCAATGAGGCCTGACAGCTCACCAGTTTATTAAAGTGGCAGATGACTAGAAAAGGAAAGTTCTCATTTTCTAACTTCCTTTCAGAAAAGATTTCCTGAAAACTCAGGATTCAAAAAAAAAAAAAAAAAGGCTTATGAATAATGGAACACACTGTTACACTCAGCCAGGTTTTATATCCTTGCAATATTCCTATCACTTGGAACAAGGTCCAGAAGTTCCAAAAAGAAAAAAAAAGAAAAAAAAAAAACAATGCATTTAAGAACTTCATAGAGTAATCACAAACGTACTAAATAGGAAAAATCATTTCTACTTACCTCTGTTGAGTGACGCTGAACTGTTTATGTCTCCAGTAATGAAGGAAGACTCCGACTGCTTTCGGACCGTGTCATTCCACATTCTACGAATTCGGCTCTGGATCGGGTAAAGGCACAAAAGGAAATGAACTCACCAGGCAGTGAAGTTTCACACAAATCATTCTGTTTCTTTCTGTCGTAGTTATACGAGACCTTTGGTCCGGCATCTGGCAAATGTGTAACTTTTACATGCTTGCAGTATGGTAGCATAAGAATATCAGAAACTAAATTAATGACAATAATTGGTTCTCATTAAGTGTATTCCGAAATGCTTATACCAAAAATAATTGTAACTGAAAAAGCAATAAATGTAATGTACTATACCAATTGAAACATGTTGAAGGTATATGGAAGTGTCCTCTAGACAGTTAGAATTTTAATAATTTTAGTTTCCAGAATGAAACAATTATTTTCATTGTAACTTTTATGGGAATGGATATTTAAATATGTATTAAATTGTCAGTTTTATTAACAAAAGATTTAGTTCAAGAATTCAGAAACTTGCAAGAAAGAAAAAGGTTAGTAAGAAAAGAATAGTGTATTATTAAAATGTGACTAGGGGCGCCTGGGTGGCGCAGTCGGTTAAGCGTCCGACTTCAGCCAGGTCACGATCTCGCGGTCCGTGAGTTCGAGCCCCGCGTCGGGCTCTGGGCTGATGGCTCGGAGCCTGGAGCCTGCTTCCGATTCTGTGTCTCCCTCTCTCTCTGCCCCTCCCCCGTTCATGCTCTGTTTCTCTCTGTCCCAAAAATAAATAAAAAACGTTGAAAAAAAAATTAAAATGTGACTAAACTCAATATTTTCCATAAATTTTGTAAGATCAGTGTAATTTCACAGGTTATATATGATTTTGACTTTTCTTTCTCTCAAAGGAGATAAAGGAAGTCAGTTCACCCTATTCATTTCTTCACAGTAGGTAATTTATAGAGAACTGAAAATTCTTACATCATTATTTATATTCTCAAATTCAGTTTTCTAAGTGCCAGATAACTGAAGCAGTGTAATATTTGTCTATTATTGGGAGGTGGATTTTTTTCTACTTTATTGTTTTGCTATTTTATTGAGTTAGGGGTCAAAAAAGTATTAACAATCCTGTGATGAGGAAACAAAATATTTTCAGTTTTTCCAAGGATGAATAGTTTTAAGAACTATTACTCCTAGTCATGGTAGAGGTAAAACCAAGCTCACAAATGGGTTATGTTCCGAATACATTTGAACACCGTGAATAAGAGGAGTACCTAAACTTAAAATATTAGACAACTGGTTTTATAAATCTTGGGGCATTTCTACATTGTGTATATTGTTTTATAGGTCAGCAACCACACACAAAGAAACACACATAGACACCAGACACACACACACACACACACACACACACACACACACACAGAACAAAACTAGTAAATAAAAGAATAAGAGAGGTGCCTGAGTGGCTCACTGAGTAGAGCACTTGACTCTTGATTTCAAGGTCATGAGTTCAAGCTCATGCCTACTTGGAAAGAGAGAGAGAGAGAGAGAGAGAGAGAGAGAGAGAGAGAGAAAGAAAGAAAGAAAGAAAGAAAGAAAGAAAGAAAGAAAGAAAGAAA